GTGCTAACCACTGCACCACCACTCCCCCTACACACACACACAGTGCGCTAACCACTGCACCACCACTCCCCACACACACACAGTGCGCTAACCACTGCACCACCACTCCACACACACACACAGTGCGCTAACCACTGCACCACCACTCCCCACACACACACACAGTGTGCTAACCACTGTACCACCACTCCCCACACACACACAGTGCGCTAACCACTGCACCACCACTCCCCAGATGGCTTCGCGTGCTGCGCTGCTGCCGTTCGTCAAGACGGAGGTGGAGGAAGCCCAGGCCTGTGGCCCGGCTTGGCCATGGAGTGCGAAGAGGATGATGGCGATGATGGTGACGACGATGATTGTGATGACGGTGAAGGTGATTGTGACAATGGCGATGATGGTGACGACGATGATTGTGATGACGGTGAAGGTGATTGTGACGATGGCGATGATGGTGACGACGATGATTGTGATGATGATTAAGGTGATTGTGACGATGGCGATGATGGTGACGATGATGATTGTGATGATGATTAAGGTGATTGTGACGATGGCGATGATGGTGACGACGATGATTGTGATGACGGTGAAGGTGATTGTGACGATGGCGATGATGGTGACGACGATGATTGTGATGATGATTAAGGTGATTGTGACGATGGCGATGATGGTGACGATGATGATTGTGATGATGATTAAGGTGATTGTGACGATGGCGACGATGGTGACGACGATGATTGTGATGATGATTAAGGTGATTGTGACGATGGCGATGATGGTGACGACGATGATTGTGATGACGGTGAAGGTGATTGTGACGATGGCGACGATGGTGACGACGATGATTGTGATGACGGTGAAGGTGATTGTGACGATGGCGATGATGGTGACGATGATGATTGTGATGATAATGAAGGTGATTGTGACTGATGGCGATGATGGTGACGACGATGATTGTGATGATGGTGAAGGTGATTGTGACGATGGCGATGATGGTGACGACGATGATTGTGATGACGATTAAGGTGATTGTGACGACGGCGATGATGGTGACGACGATGATTGTGATGACGATTAAGGTGATTGTGACGATGGCGATGATGGTGACGACGATGATTGTGATCATGGTGAAGGTGATTGTGACGATGGCGATGATGGTGACGACGATGATTGTGATGACGGTGAAGGTGATTGTGACGATGGCGATGATGGTGACGACGATGATTGTGATGATGATTAAGGTGATTGTGACGATGGCGATGATGGTGACGACGATGATTGTGATGACGGTGAAGGTGATTGTGACGATGGCGATGATGGTGACGACGATGATTGTGATGACGGTGAAGGTGATTGTGATGATGGCGATGATGGTGACGACGATGATTGTGATGACGGTGAAGGTGATTGTGACGATGGCGATGATGGTGACGACGATGATTGTGATCATGGTGAAGGTGATTGTGACGATGGCGATGATGGTGACGACGATGATTGTGATGATGATTAAGGTGATTGTGACGATGGCGACGATGGTGACGACGATGATTGTGATGATGGTGACGGTGATTGTGACTGACGGCGATGATGGTGACGACGATGATTGTGATGATGATTAAGGTGATTGTGACGATGGCGATGATGGTGACGACGATGATTGTGATGATGGTGAAGGTGATTGTGACGATGGCGATGATGGTGACGACGATGATTGTGATGATGATTAAGGTGATTGTGATGATGGTGAAGGTGATTGTGACGACGATGATTGTGATGATGGTGAAGGTGATTGTGACGATGGCGATGATGGTGACGACGATGATTGTGATGACGATGAAGGTGATTGTGACTGACGGCGATGATGGTGACGACGATGATTGTGATGATGATTAAGGTGATTGTGACGATGGCGATGATGGTGACGACGATGATTGTGATGATGGTGAAGGTGATTGTGACGATGGCGATGATGGTGACGACGATGATTGTGATGATGGTGAAGGTGATTGTGACGACGATGATTGTGATGATGGTGAAGGTGATTGTGACGATGGCGATGATGGTGACGATGATGATTGTGATGACGATGAAGGTGATTGTGACGACGACGACGATGATTGTGATGATGATGATTGTGATGATGATGATGGTGACGATGATGATTGTGACGATGATTGTGACAATGATTGTGACGATGATGATTGTGATGACGATGATGATGTTGACGATGATTGTGACGATGATGATGATCGTGAGATCACTTCGAACGTCGATGTAAATTATCTAGAAGGGAGGCTCACACTCAGATCCTGGGTGCCGGTTCACACAGAGACTCACACAGAGACCCACAGACTCACCACACAGAGACCCACAGACTCACGCAGAGACCCACAGACTCACCACACAGAGACCCACAGACTCACCACACAGAAACCCACAGACACCCACAGACTCACACACAGACTCACACAGAGACCCACAGACTCGCACAGAGATCCACAGACTCGCACAGACACCCACAGACTCGCACAGACACGCACAGACTCACACAGAAACCCACAGACTCACACACAGAGACCCACAGACTCACGCAGAGACCCACAGACTCACCACACAGAGACCCACAGACTCACCACACAGAGACCCACAGACTCACCACACAGAAACCCACAGACACCCACAGACTCACACACAGACTCACACAGAGACCCACAGACTCGCACAGACACCCACAGACTCACGCAGACACCCACAGACTCGCACAGACACGCACAGACTCACACAGACACCCACAGACTCACACACAGAGACCCACAGACTCACGCAGAGACCCACAGACTCACCACACAGAGACCCACAGACTCACCACACAGAGACCCACAGACTCACCACACAGAAACCCACAGACACCCACAGACTCACACACAGACTCACACAGAGACCCACAGACTCGCGCAGACACCCACAGACTCGCACAGACACGCACAGACTCACACAGACACCCACAGACTCACACACAGACACACAGACTCATGCATGTGTGTGTGTGCGCGTGCAGCAGGAGCGGTCGTGAAGCAGGAGGAGGGTGAGGGCCGTCTGGGCCGCGAGATCGTGAGGACGCTGGTGAAGAGCGAGGTGGAGGAGGACGGTGATGATGGTGGTGATGGTGAGTGAGAGAGGATGATGATGATGGTGATGGTGAGTGAGAGAGGATGATGGTGATGATGGTGAGTTGACTACCTCGCCTGGTGTACAGGAGGTCGTGGGTCCGATCCCGACCCTGACGATGCCCGCCGCTGCTGTATATTTGGGAGTCTGCGTTTCTCTCTGTCGCTCTCCCCGCAGCCGCGTGGATTTTTCTTCCTCCACGTCCTCCAGTTTCCCCCCCCACCCCCCCTCCACGTTTCAGAATCGCCGCCACCGCCGCCGCCACGCGGTTCGAGTGATTTGCGCCTGCGGTCGATATAAACGCGCTGTTGAGCCGCGGTCATTAGTGATGGGACGGGGTGCGGGTGGTGAGTTTAAAAATATTTATTTTTAACGATAGAATATAGTATTGTCATCAGTGTGACATAAGTATACCAAGTTTGCAGTCGATACCACATTGGGAAGTGGGTTAAAATTTAGCTACAAGATTTGAGGATACGACAACGACAACTACAACAACAACGACAACTACAACATACAGAGTGAGTTGCTGCGTCTGAGTTGCATCTGCGTTGCGTCTGAGTTGCGTCTGAGTTGCCGCGTCTGCGTGTCGTTGTCGTTGCCAAGGAGACGTCAGCGTGCGTCCCGGCCGGGAGACGTCGCGGCTGCTGAAGGTGAAGGCCGAATGGCAGGAGGGAGACTCGGGTGAGATCCCACAGACTCACACAGAGACCCACAGACTCACACAGAGACCCACAGACTCACACAGAGACCCACAGACTCACACAGAGACCCACAGACTCACACAGAGACCCACAGACTCACACAGAGACCCACAGACTCACACAGAGACCCACAGACTCACATAGAGATCCACAGACTCACACAGAGACCCACAGACTCACACAGAGACCCATAGACTCACACAGAGACACACAGACTCACGTAGAGACCCATAGACTCACACAGAGACCCACAGACTCACACAGAGACCCACAGACTCACACAGAGACCCACAGACTCACACAGAGACCCACAGACTCACACAGAGACCCACAGACTCACACAGAGACCCACAGACTCACACAGAGACCCACAGACTCATCACACAGAGACCCACAGACTCACACAGATACCCACAGACTCACCACACAAAGACCCACAGACTCATCACACAGAGACCCACAAACTCACCACACAGAGACCCACAGACTCACCACACAGAGACACACAGACTCACACAGAGACCCACAGACTCATCACACAGAGACCCACAGACTCACACAGAGACCCACAGACTCTCCACACAGAGACCCACAGACTCATCACACAGAGACCCACAGACTCACCACACAGAGACCCACAGACTCACCACGCAGAGACCCACAGACTCACCACACAGAGACCCACAGACTCACCACACAGAGACCCACAGACTCACCACGCAGAGACCCACAGACTCACCACACAGAGACCCACAGACTCATCACACAGAGACCCACAGACTCACCACACAGAGACCCACAGGCTCATCACACAGAGACCCATAGCGGCAGGAGGGAGCCTTCGGTGAGATTTCCGCTGCCTTCTCGGTTGCTTGCTGCCGCCGCCGCCGTGTGTCAGTGTCACCTCCTCACCGTGAAACGGGAGGTGCAGTAACACGGCGGGAGTTGTGTTCAGACGTTCAAACGCCAACATGGACTCAACATTTTTTGCAAGGAGTCAAGTTTGTGCATTCACCACACACGCTGCTTGCGGTGAACAAACAGACATGGCTCTGGTCATTAATCTACGGCATCGTCTTTGAAGCTGATTGGCCCACACCACAGACAGCGGCAGCAGCCTCCTTCATGGCCCAGTCTCACCGGCAGTGTCAGTAGAACAGTCTAACAATATTATACTGTTACTTCTGTGTGCATTGTCTTTAGTAACAGTGTAAGTATAATGTTGTATGGCATCGTCTTTGAAGCTGATTGGCCCACACCACAGACAGCGGCAGCCTCCTTCATGGCCCGGCCTCACCGGCAGCGTCAGTAGAACAGTCTAACAATGTTACACTGTTACTTTTGTGTGCGTTGTGTTTAGTAACAGTGTAATTATAATGTTGTGTGGCATCGTCTTTTGAAGCTGATTGACCTACACAAGAGACAGCGGCCTTGTCTAGGGCCCAGCCTCAACAGCAATTACAGTAGACCAGAGAACGACGCCTAAAGGCGACCAGCGCAAGGTCAATGCCACGCGTATCGGAGCACTCACAGCTGGAGTAACACGTCAGCTTTCGCAACCAATATTTATAGTCGAGGTTTTGTTGGGTTAGATGGCGTCGATTTACGCGATCTAACGCAAAAAGCAGGAGTTGCATTCAGCTTTTCAAACACCAACATCGATTCTACCTTCTGCAAGGAATCCAGTAATGCTTTAACCACACACAGATCTTGAACATGCAAACACACTCTGATAATCGACTCGCAATTTCTTTGAAGCTGATTGGTCTACAGCAGAGACAGCGGCCTTCTCTAGGGCCCAGCCTCACCGGTAGCGTCAGTAGACCAGAGAACGACACCCAAAGGCGACCAGCACAAGGTCAATGCCACGCGTATCGGAGCACTCACAGCCCGGGCGGTGAGCAGAAGCGATACCACAGGACACCCTGTTTATTGTTGCCAGTGTCAAAGTTTGACAACTAAGAATAGGCATACTCTCTCTGGGTCTTTTCGTAAAGTCACGTAGATAGAACAATTAGCAATCTTTGGAAGAACGTATTCAACCAGGTAGGGTTCATCATAAACGTTTGTTGGGGGAGATCGCGTTATTTAAAAATGTGTCGTAACCCTCCACCACCCGACACGGCCAATCAGCTCAAAAGTGTCACGTTGACGAAAAACAAAATAGTTCACTGCTTTAGCCCACTGGTGTGTTGTTGAAGAGTGGATCCACAACATTTACAATTTTTGAGTACGACAATTCGCCCGATGATGCTTGATGCAATTAGTAGCGAAACGTCGCAGTACTCAAAAATTGTAAATGTTGTGGTTTCACGCTTCAACAACACACCGGTGGGCTAAAGTAGTGACTTGACAACCGGCGAGGTAGTCAGCATCTCCTAGCCACTGTGATGATGATGGTGGAACCCACGACCTCCTGCACACCAGGCGAGGTGGTCAACATATCCTAGCCACCGTGATGATGATGGTGGAACCCACGACCTCCTGTACACCAGGCGAGGTAGTCAACATCAAAGCTTCAAATCAAGATAAAAAAATAGACGTTCTACACTCTTCTAGATTTGAAGCTTTCGTGACTGCAAGGATTCATATTCTTAGGTTTTTTCGGTAAAGTCACGTAGGTAAAACATCAAAATTAATAAAAATAAAATAAAACAAAAATCACGACGTTTCGGAGGCAACACAAGTCTCCGTCATCAGGTGGGATCGTCACAGCCAGATTAGCTGCATCAAGTGAGGCAATGATTCAAGATGTAATCCCTTAAAAAGCAAGTTGAGGGGGAGGAAAGGGGGGGGGGGAGCTCATCAGAATGTGGTAGCCAATGAATGGAACGTATCGGGAGGGAGGGGGGCGGGGCTCAAAGACGGCACGGAATGCCACGTGCAACGCATCGGGAGGGGGAGGGGGGGTGCCAAAAGAATGGACGACGGCGTGGACGCGGTTGCTGTTGCACAACGCATTGGACAGAGAGGGGGAGGCCTGATACACATGATAGAAAAAGAACGAAAATGCCCATGTTTATACCAATGCTGGCTGAACAATGAAGAGAGTACTGTTAAACACTGGGGATGTTAACACTCGGTACAGTAAAGTAAGATAGTGCCTGTCAGATAAGATGGTCCAAAAAAGTGTAATTAAGTCTTTTTTGCGTGGTTGATAACATCTTTCCAATGATTCTACACTCTCTGGCAAATAAAACAGGAGTTGTGTTAGAATGTTCAAACACGAACATGGATAACATTTAGCGAGGAATGTACCGCATTAGCCAAACGCGGTAACTTGTGGTGAACATGCAGACAAACCTTGACAATCTGGCAAAAAAACGTATCCCATCATATAGCTGCTCTACCACTGCCAATCGTGTCAACAGAAGAAGGGATTCGTGCTAAAGGGCGGGGGGTCTCGTTTACCCTGGAGGTGTTAAGATGCTCAAACGCCGGTGGTGTTTGACGCCTCCACCCTGCCGCCCCCCTCCTGATCCTTGTCACCACCACCATGACCACCACCACAACCACCACGTCCACCACGACCACCACCACGTCCACCACCACGACCACCACCACGACCACCACGACCACCACGACCACCACCACGACCACCACCACCACGACCACCACCACGACCACCACCATGACCATCACCACCACGACCACCACCACGACCACCACCACGACCACCACCACCACGACCATCACGACCACCACCACCACGACCACCACCACCACGACCACCACCACGACCACCACCACGACCACCACGACCACCACGACCACCACCACGACCACCACCATGACCATCACCACCACGACCACCACCACGACCACCACCACGACCACCACCACCACGACCACCACCACGACCACCACGACCACCACCACCACGACCACGACCACCACCACGACCACCACGACCACCACCACGACCACCACCACGACCACCACCACCACGACCACCACCACCACCACGACCACCACCACGACCACCACCACGACCACCACCACCACCGCTGCCATGCGGCTTGCGGCTTGTGGCGAAGGTGGCGAGCGGGAGCTCCTGTGCGCGGAGTGCGGCACGGAGCCACGCGGCGGCGTCGGCGGCGTCCGGAACACGTGGGACGAAGAAGCGAAACCGGGCGGCGGCGACAGCGGCACCGCGCGAGCGTGCGCGCGGTGCGGCAAGGAGATGCCGCTCGGGGGCATCTCATCGCACGACGACGACGGTGACGACGGCGTCGAAGGCGACGACGATCGACGACTGCCGAAACGGCGGCGTCAGCGTCAGCGGCAGCAGCGACGCGCGCCCGGCGGCGGCGAGAAGCCGCACGTGTGCACCGAGTGCGGCAAGGCCTTCGCCCGCTGCTCCGACCTGGACCGCCACTCGCGGACGCACACCGGCGAGCGGCCGCACGGCTGCCCCGACTGCGGCCGCCGCTTCTCGCACGCCTCCTCGCTGAAGCTGCACGCGGCCACCCACACGGGGGAGCGCCCGCACGCCTGCCCCGACTGCGGCCGAGGCTTCACGCGGCGCTCCTACCTGGAGACGCACGCCCGCCTCCACACGGGCGAGAGGCCGCACGCCTGCGCGGACTGCGGCCGCCGCTTCCTGCACAAGCACTCGCTCAAGACGCACGCGGCCAGCCACGCCGCCCGGAGGCCCCTGGCCTGCGGCGAGTGCGGCCGCGGCTTCGCCCGCCCCTTCGACCTGGAGGCGCACAGCGCGCACCCACACTGGCGAGAGGCCGCACACCGTGCCCCGACTGCGGCAGGCGCTTCGCCCGCCGGTGCCACCTGGAGGCGCACTGCGCGCATGCACACGGGCGAGTGGCCCTGCCTCTGCAAGGAGTGCGGCAAGGGCTTCGCATGCTTCTCGCACCTGGAGAGGCACGCGCGCACGCACACGGGCGAGAGGCCGCACGCTTGCGACGCGTGCGGGAAGCAGTTTCGCGAGCGATCGCACCTCAAGAAGCACGCGGCGACGCACGGAGCAGCGTAGCGGGCGGTGCTGGCGGCGAGGGCGGTGAGGGCGGTGAGGGCGGCGAGGGTGGCGCGGCGGGAGATGGAGCGGACTTCTCGCCGTGCTCTTCCGTCGTCCGCGAGACGCGCGCCGGCGATTCGATCTTCGGCGAAGACGGTTGACCGAACGGCAGTGGGGGTCGGTCCAATGGCAGCCGGCCCCTCGCCTCTTGTCATGAAACCCGTGGCGTAAATTAGACCGCTGCGGTGGTGGGGTAGAGTGTGGGTAGCTTCACTAAAAGTCGATTTGATGCATCTCTTCCAGACTGACCTACCCGTGGGTGGGTGTTTGGTGGAGGAGAGCCGTAGCCCCTGGCTCTGCCAGGTAGGAGGCAGCGGTTACAGCAGAGCGCGTGTGGTCCTCCCGCATGGGAAAGGGTCGATATGTTTGAGAACCGCAGAGCTCGGGCGAGCGAGCGAGCGGCCCTCTGCCGCGTCTCGCGAGGAGTCGGCGGTTCGTCCACTTTTGTCGTCGGTCTCTCCCGTGCCCCCCCGTCCGCGCTAACGCGTGGAGTTTTTTCACGTGGCGTTTTTGCCGTGTCCTCCGGTAGCGATGAATGCCCCGGTGGGCCGGAGATGGCAAATACCTCGCCTGAAGGTATGCAGCAAGGGTGCGTTCTGCTCTGTGTGTGTTGCAACAAGCCGAGCTGTCGGCTTTACCACAAGCAAGCATGCGATTGTGCATTTTTTTTATAAATGTAATGCGAGTGTAAATGCTGCTGGGCTCTGGTCCAATCACACGGACCAGGGTGTTGGGGGGCGGAGCCTGGTCTGCGGGGCGTGTGGGAGGAGCCGCCGTTCACCTCGGCTCCAATGGGAGGCGGCGAGGTGAATGGGGGCGGAGCCAGCGGGGCAGTATGGGAAGGGCCGGATCTGACGATCCGGAAGGGGAGGAGTCAGGGTCACGTGGGGGGGAATGTATATAAGTGTGAGCCCGGAAGAGATCGGGGCAGTCGGGGAAGTTAAGAGTCTGAGCCACGTTGGGTGGCGAGAGAGAGATCCGCGCCATTGGTCACGTGGCCGAAGGACCTCAGCACGCCGTCGGCCGGCGGTGTGCGGAGTGCGGGAGTGGAGGAGCTAACGGAGGAGCGTGCGGGGCACGCGAGAGGGAGCGTGCGCGGGGCGCGCGCGAAACGACGCTGGTCCGTGGAGGAGACCAGTGGGGGGTCCGGAGAAGAACCTGAATAAAAGACAAGCGGAGACCAGCAGAGCCTGACGGAGTCTTTTATTACATAATGACGGTGAATGACGGATGATTGTGAAATGAAGGTGGTCGTCGTGGTGTCATTCCAATCAGTGGGGTACCCTCGTCAAAGCCGCAGGGCCGTGTATTAACCGTAGTGGCAATAATACTGTAACGGTCCCTTCTTAACGGTCCCCACAACATCGCCATTCCCTATCCCACCAATCCCTGCACCTGCTTGACCTGGAGTCACCCCGAGGTGTGACGATGTGAGATTGGTGGGTGGACACGAGGAGACACGTTTGTGTACGTATGCGTGTTGAACTTATTTCGCACGGTACCTAGTCAACTGTGCGGATCGGTGGTGTGGGGGAAAGACAACAAACTAAACACATAAAGCGGTTAAATTTCGATTTAAAAACTTTCGTGACTGCAGGGATTCATCTTCTTGGTTCTTTCGGTGAAGTCACGTAGAAGGGAAATAATAAAATAATAATAATAAAACATAATAAAATTTGTATTTAAAGCTTTCGTGACTGCAGGGATTCATCTTCTTGGTTCTTTCGGTAAAGTCACGTAGAAGGGAAGTAATAAAATAATAAAAATAAAACAATTCTCACAACGTTTCGGCCAGGACGGCTGCTTGCGTTGTGGCTGAAACGTCGTGAGAATTGTTTTATTATGTTTTATTTTTATTATTTTATTACTTCCCTTCTACGTGACTTTACCGAAAGAACCAAGAACATAAAACAGTTCTAAAGAAATGAGTTTGTCAATATTGATGTTGATTTACAACTGCAGCATAGCTACAGTGGCTTCCTGAAATCGGAAGACCCTTCCAGATGACCGCAGAAGCGCGTCTGAAAGCGAGCCATGCGGTCCGAGGTGTAACGATGTGTGGCTGGTGGCTGGAAATGAGGTGACAAGGATGAGGGGAAGGAATCTGTGGGGATAAGAGGTGACTTTAGAGGAGTGACGGGGGGGGGGTGATGGAACTGTGGATGAAGGAGAGAGCTGTGGATGAAGGAGAGAGCTGTGGATGAAGGAGCTGTGGATGAAGGAGAGAGCTGTGGATGAAGGAGAGAGCTGTGGATGAAGGAGAGAGCTGTGGATGAAGGAGAGAGCTGTGGGTGAAGGAGAGAGCTGTGGGTGAAGGAGGGAGCTGTGGATGAAGGAGAGAGCTGTGGATGAAGGAGAGAGCTGTGGGTGAAGGAGAGAGCTGTGGATGAAGGAGAGAGCTGTGGATGAAGGAGAGAGCTGTGGATGAAGGAGAGAGCTGTGGGTGAAGGAGGGAGCTGTGGATGAAGGAGAGAGCTGTGGATGAAGGAGGGAGCTGTGGATGAAGGAGAGAGCTGTGGATGAAGGAGAGAGCTGTGGATGAAGGAGGGAACTGTGGATGAAGGAGGGAGCTGTGGATGAAGGAGAGAGCTGTGGATGAAGGAGGGAGCTGTGGATGAAGGAGGGAACTGTGGATGAAGGAGGGAGCTGTGGGTGAAGGAGGGAGCTGTGGATGAAGGAGAGAGCTGTGGATGAAGGAGGGAACTGTGGATGAAGGAGAGAGCTGTGGATGAAGGAGGGAGTTGTGGATGAAGGAGAGAGCTGTGGATGAAGGAGGGAGCTGTGGATGAAGGAGGGAACTGTGGATGAAGGAGGGAGCTGTGGGTGAAGGAGGGAGCTGTGGATGAAGGAGGGAGCTGTGGGTGAAGGAGAGAGTTTTGGATGAAGGAGGGAGCTGTGGATGAAGGAGGGAGCTGTGGATGTAGGAGAGAGTTTTGGATGAAGGAGGGAGCTGTGGATGAAGGAGGGAGCTGTGGATGAAGGAGAGAGTTTTGGATGAAGGAGGGAGCTGTGGATGAAGGAGAGAGCTGTGGATGAAGGAGGGAACTGTGGATGAAGGAGGGAGCTGTGGATGAAGGAGGGAGCTGTGGATGAAGGAGAGAGCTGTGGATGAAGGAGAGAGCTGTGGATGAAGGAGAGAGCTGTGGGTGAAGGAGGGAGCTGTGGATGAAGGAGAGAGCTGTGGATGAAGGAGGGAACTGTGGATGAAGGAGGGAGCTGTGGATGAAGGAGAGAGCTGTGGATGAAGGAGGGAACTGTGGATGAAGGAGGGAGCTGTGGATGAAGGAGGGAGCTGTGGATGAAGGAGAGAGCTGTGGATGAAGGAGGGAGCTGTGGATGAAGGAGAGAGCTGTGGGTGAAGGAGGGAGCTGTGGATGAAGGAGAGAGCTGTGGATGAAGGAGGGAGCTGTGGATGAAGGAGAGAGCTGTGGATGAAGGAGAGAGCTGTGGGTGAAGGAGGGAGCTGTGGATGAAGGAGAGAGCTGTGGATGAAGGAGAGAGCTGTGGATGAAGGAGAGAGTTGTGGATGAAGGAGAGAGTTGTGGATGAAGGAGAGAGCTGTGGATGAAGGAGAGAGATGTGGATGAAGGAGAGAGCTGTGGATGAAGGAGAGAGCTGTGGATGAAGGAGAGAGCTGTGGATGAAGGAGAGAGTTGTGGACGAAGGAGAGAGCTGGGACGAAGGAGAGAGCTGTGGATGAAGGAGAGAGTTGTGGATGAAGGAGAGAGCTGTGGATGAAGGAGAGAGCTGTGGATGAAGGAGAGAGCTGTGGATGAAGGAGAGAGTTGTGGATGAAGGAGAGAGTTGTGGACGAAGGAGAGAGCTGTGGATGAAGGAGAGAGCTGTGGATGAAGGAGAGAGCTGTGGATGAAGGAGAGAGTTGTGGATGAAGGAGAGAGTTGTGGACAAGGAGAGAGCTGTGGATGAAGGAGAGAGCTGTGGACGAAGGAGAGAGCTGTGGGTGAAGGGGGGAGCTGTGGATGAAGGAGAGAGCTGTGGATGAAGGAGAGAGCTGTGGATGAAGGACGACTCCGTGCCGTCTGCTCCGCTCGCAGCCGACGTGTGAGATCATGAGCAGCTCATCGTGTGCCACCGGCGCCGCAAATCCAGGTTTGTACAAATTCGAAAATGCACACCGCAAACTCATCAATTGGGATTATACACATGGCAACAACGCCCACTACTGGCAACAGACTAATGCCCAGGGGCAGCTGCCATTGCAGCTCTAAACTAAACGATTCATCTCACCAGGTAAGGTCCCACACTTACAAATGATAGCTCAATAACGTTTTTTATCGTCACGTGGAAATGCATTGCAGCCAAATACTCGAAATTCGTGATGTTGATTCCGAAATGTGAAGGAAATAAAACCGGAGGACCCGGAGAAAAAAACCCGCGACCACAGGGAGAGAGAGACACGCAAATTACAGATATACAGCAGGCAGTGTCAGGATGGGGGTCGAACCCACGAGCTCCTGCACACCAGGCGAGGTCGTTAACATCTTCACAGGGAGATAGAGAGACACGCAAATTCCAAATATACAGCGGGTATCAGGGTCAGGATCGAACCCACTACCGCCTTCATACCAGGTGAGGTAGTTAATATCTCCACGGGGAGAGATAGTGGGTGGGTGGGTGGTGAATGGGTGGGTGGGCGAGTGAGTGAATGAGTGGCTGGGTGAGTGAGTGGATGGGTGGATAGGTGAGTGGGTGGCTGGCTGAGTGAGTGAGTGGGTGAATGAATGGGTAGGTGGATGAATGAGTGGGGGTCGGTGAATGCCAGACGGCAACGCTGTGGTGAGCAATGCCATGGGGGGGGGGAGGGGGCAATTTAGATTGACCATCCCCTTATGGCGTTTGTATCCACCACCTTCAGATGAATTAAACGAAGCTTGTGCTGGAGGCCCGGGGGGACAGGCGTCTATGACGTCTGGCCAAACCCCATTTTGCGGAGCCAGAAGACTGAATCTTTACCCTCGGGGTTCCTCCCGAAGCAGCAATAAGTATAACCCGTAAAAAGAAAGTTTTTCACTATAAATCCTTTATATGCGTGGCGGCTAGAGTCCTCTCGTCCTCTGGCTTGAGATGGCTGCCACCTATGGGTCAGATGATTGTCTGCCACCATTAAGCAATTGGTAAATAAATATTTAAAAAAATGTTTCACGAACATTAATTCTCACGCACAACAAGTCTGTGTGGAAAATGTCAACTCGATTGGATCACGGGAAGTGGGTTAAAAAACGACCAAAAGATTTACACGGTCGTAAGCAAGCAAGCACGCAAGCACGCAAGCAAGCAAGCACGCAAGCAAGCACGCAAGCAAGCAAGCGAACTTAATATAAAGGATTTAAAAACCCACTACGGGTGGCCACGTGGAATGTTCGAACCGGTACCGCCTGGATCTCTGTGGCATTCAGGAGGTCCGGTGGACCGGTTCTGGCTCCTGTCACCATGAGGGGTGGACAGTCCTCTACTCGGGGCAGGAGACTGCCAAACAACAGCGAGTGGCTCTTCTTCTGAACAAAGGAATGAAGGGGGCGTGGGAGCGTGGCGGTGAGGTGTGGGAAGCTGTGAGC